CGCATAACAGGAAAGGGACGAGAAAGAGCCAAGACCTGGCATTCGTTGAAGAAACTGTGCTAATTATAAGCGCAAGCTTTTGCACAGTTTAACGCTCGTTATTCATCATTTTCGAATTATTCGGTAATAATATTATTACATTATAACCGTTTACATTATTACTATACATATTAATATTGCATGAACGTCAAGGACAAGTGGGAATTTTTAAAGCGAGATGCACTTGGGCAACTAGTAACAAAGGAATATTTGACGTAGCGAGCTAGAAAGATAATTAAAGGCTTTCGGTTCATTGGCACTTTTGACAATCACAAAGGGATTCGGTCGGCCGGTGACTTGGCCACGAACCTGACACCATTTCATCCCCCTCGCGGTAGCATGGTGTTGTTGAGGAGGCAATTCTCAAAACCTGCGCCGAACCGGTACGTACACGCGAGTAAGTATAGTATTTTTAACTCGAACGCGAACACGCGAGAGAAAGGGAGCGAGAGAATGAGAAAGATTTAAGGGTCTTAGACCATCCAGTCAGCGGTTCTCTGTGTAAGGGACCTTGACTCGTGCGACAAATATTTCACTTTTTTTAAGAGTGTAACAAGCGATATCTAAACAGACAAAAATCTGACTCCTTCATATAATTGTTGATTAATTCTTTCAAGTAAACTATCATTTATGTATAATCAATTTTATTTTGATAAGAACTTCCGTGTATTGATTTTATCCAGTGAATAAATAATTGCTCTTCATCTACAGGATTTTCCATCCGAGGCGGAATAAAATTTACTTCATTAGATTGCTAAAGTTTAATTTTATACCAGAGTTTACTTATTCATTGCCGGTACTTATTAAAACGATTTGAAACTGAGAACCATTGGTTTCTCGGGTGCTTCGGGGTTAAAGACCGGGTGCAGGTCTTACGTGTGCTCCGCGACTTCAATTTTCTCTCGTTGTCTTTCTCGATGCTCCTCTCCCATTTCCCTTTCTCTTCCCTCTTTCACCATCCTTCCCGCTATCTCCATCCGTTTTTAACCCTTCCTGCGTCCCTACCCGGCTTACTTTCTCTCTTTTTTTAACACGCCGCGAATGAAAAAGACAGTTCGTATTGACACTGACGCGAATACAGAAATATTTCTTCCCCCCGTTTCCTCTCTCTCGCCGCTTTGAGACTTCTCTGCAGGATCACGGGCTTACGCTAAGCCTGCATCTGAACAGAGACTTCTTTGCCAAAAAAAATAATGCAAAAGGGTCGTAAGGAGAATGTCTCGTATATTTTTTCTGTAGTTGAAACACATTTTTGTTTATATATGAAAATTTAACAGAACACAAATGACTATTTTCGAAAAAAAATTGTTACAGGATGTTATTAATTCAATTAGTATTTGTCTGCAAAAGCTTAGCGATAAATTAGGAGTGAAGTCACGCGTACGCTCGGCTCGCTGACAAATGCAGATGTTCTCGTTTTTTCTCTTTCCTTTGCCGAGTTCTTTTTATCGGATTCCTAAGGGATTAGCCGTCGCAAGATGAGATCACAGCGTGCCGGAAGAATGTTCAACGCCCGATCCGTCCGTCCATCGACTTATAACGTCCGTGACTTTCCCGTTAAACGATTCAACATACGAAAGATGCAATTTAACGGTTATAAAATTTAAACTGTCGTTTTAGAAATGTTTACATTAAATCTCATACGAGAAATATTTGTATTTACATTACATTAATTACTTCGATATTTTTAGGTTCATAAATGATTTGCGTTTAAGGGAAAATTATGGAACATCTGTGTGTATCATAGAAATAACATACAATTCATTAGTATTACGCGAGGGAAAGTTACCTAGGGAAAATTAAATTCACTTCATTCTAACGAGAAAGAATCCTCTCTTTTTCCGGGTTCTACCTACAGAGGGTTCTTTTCGGATTAAGGGACATAGGGGTAGGCTTGAATCCGAGGTCAATAGGCGTCTCTGCGCGGCAGCATTTCATCTGCGGATTCCTAATAATCCTTCGTAACGCCCTCACTAATTGAAGCAAATACCGTGCCGCTCGTGAATCTGATATACATATATATATATACGTGTACTCTCGGAAGTAATCTGTTATGCGCGCATACATACGCAGACATGCCTGAATACGTAGTACCTACTTCTATGCGCAAGCTCGCTTATGATGTACGGTTCCTCAAATACAACGTTGTAACAGCGAAATTGCGTACATACTTCAAAAAGTTTCAACCTGTTAGACTCGCAATCTAATTTAGACTTTGAAGGATTGGTAAAATATCCATACGCATGTTCCTGAGCAAAATTAATGCTGTTACTTTTTTATAGTAGCACGATATTCTTCAAACAATAGAAAGGTGTCTTTCAATATATCCGTGCCTCTGGAAGGCAATAAATTATCTCGCTCGAAACAACAGCAAAGATCAAGAACAGTTTTCTTTTTGTACGAAAAAGGGAGTAGCAACGGCAGCTGCAACTTTTCTACCCTGGCCGAGATAAAGGAGGGTTGCGAAAGACGTCGACGTGGGGTCCTGGTACTCGGATACAGAACAGCCATAAAATTTATCGAGCTTTCGGGGTGGCGGAAGTTAAGCTGTCACTGCACGCAACTGCGCCACGGCAGTCCGCGTCACCCAGCTACGCGCTTTATGAAAACGATGATTTCTGGGGAAAGATTTCCCGGAGGGGTCGTGCCGAATAATACGCTTCTAATTCAAATGTACACTTTCGCGCGACAGAATCGATTTGCAATCACACTGAATAGTAACTAACAGTAAACATTCTCCCACCCGTAGAAATAACGCGATGGTTGAAGGAAAAAATGACAAGCGATTACTAAAGTCTTAGACGTCAGCATTAAAGCACAAATCATTACTATTCTTAAGATTCAATCAACTGTTCTCCATTAATATATTACTTTATTATATTACTAACAGGCATTAACTGTAAACAAAATTCCTGATTTATATATTTTCTTAAGAAATACTATAAAACTAAGCGATATTAAATGCGCATACTATTTTGTGAAACCTGTCTTTTGTGTACGTGCTTAATACATTTCCCACATTCCAGAGATTATCTTATCGGCGGAGACCGAGTAGACTTTAACGGAGGGTAGCATAAATCAGAACCACGACCTAGGCGCGTAGGATACGTCAACTGAATCTCGCGTTCGAGATGAAGGATGTAAAAAATAAAGACGACAAGGGATCCTAAAATAATATCGTAAACCACGAACGACGGGCACGCCTTGTCTACGCACGTCCGCACGCTTACGCGTGCTCGTACATATATTATGAACACGTTATAGAACATGGAAGTCTATTTCGAACCGAAAGACATTCTGTATCCAGCCGCTCTCTCGCAACAGCCGTTTGATACAGCCACGATATACAGGGTGGAGCGAGAAGTCTAATGATACCGAAAAACGTTTCGCAAGAGGAAGTTAGTGTTTCAAATGAAAATGGAAAACTGAATTGTATATTTATTTCGATGTTTAAAGACGCCTGAATTATTTCTTTAAGCCTAATAACACGAGAAACGTTTCATAAAATATTTCTCTTTTTACATCGCGGTTGTTTGTAATTGATAATTTAGAGGATTTTACCAATCATCACAATCACGAGAAACATTATCGGGAAATGTTTCAGGTGACCAAAGTTACAGTCTCACCCTGTGTATAAGAAAACTACATCCCCTTGCCAGTGGCTGTCAGACGTCGGTGAGATTTGCAGAAAGGAAAAACGAATCACCCTTCGTTGTACGTTTAAAATTTACTTTCTATTGTGTAGATTCTCGAGATGGAAACTTCTTTTATACCGCATATTTTTATTCCTATTGGAAAAGTAAATCTCCCTGTGCCAATTCAAGAATGTTTCGTTTGTAAAGTTTATTCCCTATTGTGCGTTACACGGTTCCATTTGCATCAACAGAGGGTAGAATATTCTGTATCCATATTTACACAACAAAACGCGTCGTTCTCACATTTTGTTGTATAATTAAATATTTTACATGCACATTACGTTTTGCTGTCTGACCACAGACCGGCTTGTGCAAGTTGAGTACCACTGTAAATCGGCGTGCACATCTGGCCGTGGCCGCCCTGGAAACATGGGAGTTGAGAGTAAAGTATAAACTATGGGGTGCCACCCCATCTCGTACCGGGCACCTCCTCCTACTCTCGACCACCATGGATGTAGGTAATATCGACTTCCACGCGAGATACGTTCGCGCGAATACACGCGCTATCAACCGTGTTCCAATCTATCGTAATTTTGCAACGTTTGTAGATTCGTTTATACTATCGACGAACAGTGAACGAGTCGAGCAGAAATTCAGGTACCATCGAAGCACGCGAATTCACAAGTAGATGCATACCTACATATGCACAGTTAAATGAATACTAATAAAATTGCATACGGAATCGTACAGATAAAATCCAGTTTCCTGGAACACAGTTATCTAAAGATACGCAAGGTGTCGAGACAGAAAATTGGCGAGACGTTATCAAATTTTACGGTATTAAATAGTAACAGAAATGTATGAAATGAAATACCGTTAAAATACAACAGTCTCTGTAATAGAGTTTCTTTTAATAGAGTATTTTTTATGTAACAAATTTATACGCGTAGCAAGGGTACGGTGCAATACGCAAGGGGGTGTAGAAAAGAACGAAAGAGGGGATTTGACGGTCGTGTGAGAGAGCTCATATATTTAAAAGGGACACGGGGTCGTATACCCCCATGGAAGCCAGTTTCCATGGTGGTCCAGATCTCTCGTGGCGGCCAGAAATGCGCAAAGGGTTGCTAAAAGCCATTCACAGGACTAATGGCTAATGGGGTGTGTTCTTAACGCGGCACCGAATCTACTGGGCCGCTTTGGCTCCCTTGCTCGAAACCTTTCTACGAATATCTTTAGCGATAAATCTTGCGTAGTATCTTGAGTTATCAATAAGGACCGAATGAGTCCCTTCGAGTTATCAATAACTGAATTGAAAATTTTAACGAAACTCGATAATGTTCACTGACTGGTAATAACGAAACAGATACAGCGTTGTTCAAAAAAATGATCTGGTACAACGAGGGTTCAGACCACACAGCTGTTTTTCTGTTAACCCATCACGGTAAGATTATTTCTGTTTTTAAATTTATTCTGTTCCGTATTCTAATCAGATAATTTGGAATATCTTTTAATACTAAATGAAAATAATTTATCTCAGTGCGACATGATTTTTAAGTATTTAACATGAAGGATGAGTCAGTCAGCGTTAATGCTAGCGGCTACCATAAATCCCATGGGATCCATAAATATACCCCGAGCTGTTTGAAGCGTATAACAACTTTACTAACTCCGTAATTTAATGTATCGGGTATATATTACTGCATAATATATTACGAGTACAAGTTTATAAGTTAAGAGAATATTAAAGTGGCTAATTTAGTTTAATTAACTGAGGTACAAACTGTAATACTTTAATCAAGAGCATTATATCACCTATAATGTACCTGTCTATTTTGAATATTCGTATTTTATCTCTTTACGTCGTCATAAAATAGAACCACGGCGATAAAATAGAGTCAATAATAGTATTAAACCCACCCAAAATTATCACGAGAAATTAGTAATAAATTATATCGCGGCGTACTTTGAAGATCTAACTTTGTCCTCACAAGGAGGATATTTAAATGGTAAACTTACCAAGCTGTGACTGATGCGTCGGCGTCGGAGCTGGCCTAATTTTATCCGGTGGACATCTTCTAGTGGCAGCTACGGTGGCAGGTAAGGGTATACTCGTCCCAACACCGGGACAGCCACCTGCACCTCCGACTGCCGACTGCTTGTTGTACGGCGATGGCAATCTGGAACAAAAGGAATCGATTCAGAAAACAGCGTCCCAATGGAGTCGTAACTGTTACTCAGACAGAAAATCGCTTCCCGTTGTGTCTAAACGATGCTCCAACCACCAATTTCGCAGTTTTCGTTCGTTGGCTTTCGTTTCTATCGCCTTTACGAGAAAATAAACGTGTTTGGACAAACGCAAGAAAGATTCCAGAAGATAAACACACGACGTGGGAGTCGACAGCCGTTTAAACTAATTACAGTTTGATAACTGATTGCATTAAATACCTAACTGACAAAGTAATGTACGAAAATCAATTACACGTGGCGAACGATTAGCATCCCGTCAAAACGTCGGACGGAAATTCTTCATACGTATAGTTTTGGCAAGCGTGCAACCAGATCGCATGCCAAAAACGCGTGCACTCGTCCCGAAAGCGAGACCAAAGAGAGAAACGGAACAGTGGGACAGGGAAAAAAGGAAGCAGGAGGAAATAAAAAAACTCCACGAAGGCGTTAACGTTGCCCGAAAAAAAACACTGGTAAACGACAACACCAAGAGGGAGACTCGTTGGTGGCCGTTCCCTTCGACGAAATCCTTTTTTCTCAAGCAACCAGCGCTTTACCCAAGCCTGCCCTAAAATTGGTTTGCTTGAATTTGTTAGTTAGTCGTGAGGCAGCAACCTCGTAGGCACAATAAAAGAGCATTTTTGTTTTTTATTTCATCCCTTCATTCTATACCTGCTTCATAATTTTTTAATTGTCGTCAGCATTTATGTACTTGCAAAAAATTGTCCAATAAAGAAAACAAATGTACTGAATGCATCCTAACATTAATTGAAAATCTTATGCGCCAAAATAATCCGCAATTTCAATGAGTCGTGAATCGTTCCTCGAGAATGAGAAGTAGGATGACACCGAGAATGTAGACGGCAAGGGTAAAACCCATGAGACACGACGATGCTCGTTTCAACGAAGAAATGCGAAGTAATCCGTAGAAACGTGAAATGCACGGTTTCCCCATGCCAAACTAACAAGCCTAGTCTGTGTCGCGGCAGTGTCACCAGTGAACGGCAAATATTTGGCTCAACCGATGACGTCGGCATGTACATAAGTACTCAAAGCAGCCCCTCTTTACTCGTGGTTCACCCGGACCCATCATCATTTAACCCTGTCTTCTGTCTGTTGTCGCAGAATCAAAATATCTGTTCTCTGCTGAGTTTTTAATGTTTTAATATATCATTCAGATTTATTGAATTCTTATCTAATAAAATATGAATAAGCGGTCTTGTATTTAAACAATGTCAACAGGCTTTTAAGGGATGCAGAAATAAATGTACATGTATCAACATTTAATCCGAGCAAATCCTATTTCATAATGGAACGGCTGCCGAATCATCCGTATTCATGGAAGAAAAATGGTGACCGATCAAGATTTATGAAACTGAATCCTTGTTGAAGGATCAGTGGATGCAGGATACCGTACAAGATTCGTAGCGATAGTGATGTATCGATGGTAAAAGATTATTCGACGAAACCCTTTCCACGGAATTGAACGGCTACGACCGTTAAGGGAAAAAATCGTTTCAATTTCAATCTTACGCGACAGTCGGCTGCCGGGGGTAGCGTCTCACGAATATTTACGAGGTTAATATCGGAAATTAATGTCGCAGGTTGGGACCGGGTTTGGTCTCACGTTTCGCAATCTACCACCGAGTGGTAACCAAGACCGACGTATTAACACGACAAGAGATCACGTGCTTCGGTTGTAAACATCGCGTTTACGATAGCTTTATCCCTCGTTCGTAAGCAAAAGACGTTTCTTCGAGTGGCCGCAAAGATATTATTACGCCTACTGTGCCGGGGACGAGACGTTAAGGGTGTAAAACTCCTAAGCTTACACTTGTAAAGTACTACGTCCTTTTGCAGATCCAGTTTCGTCCTCGTTGAGTGTCGTAAACCTAACAAGATAGAATGCCTTCCAAACTTCCAAGAGGCTCATATTTAGTTTGACGGTGAAATTCACGAATTTCGTTGGGTTTATATTATGATCTTACAAAATAACTCTGGATACTCATTAATTATCCCCTGTCAATATCGAAATATAGAAACCAGAATCGATTGACACTTGAACTATTCATGTTGTAAATATATTTAGAAAATGTTCTCACAATACAGTTCTCTAAAGCGTTACTATCAATACGTTACAAACTTGAAAATAACTTGACCTCGGCATGACACGGGACGCCAGACGGCATAAACGACTGATCATACGCTCGAGTAAAAGCTATTAATTATAAAACCTGTTATCGGGCTCGAGACAGAGCTCTTTTAATTCCACAAGTGTTATTAATACGAGTGATCGATCGCGTGGCAAGAATTTCATACACGGGCACAGTGCGCGTGCAGTTATGCGTTTGCACGCCATTTGTACTCGGTGCGCGTGTGCTGATACTTGACGGTACGCGTGTGACGGCGTGTACCCGCGCGATATGGACACATCGCATCGCGGAGACAATTAACGTGGGTACACAGGCGATGGGTGTATATATCGTACACGCACGAGCCCGTATCCGTAGCTACGGCGAAGGGGAAGGAGGTTCTGTTAATTACTCAAGCTTCTGGTTTCCATATCCGATGGGAGACCCTCGAGGATCAATATCCGATTTCTCATCCCTGCTATTTCGAGCCGTCCCTTTCGCGTCACTTTCCAAAACCGCTAAGATTCTTCGGAAAAGGTTCCTCTGTATATGGAGCTACTTTGTCCATGTGTATAACCAGGGTTTAAAGTTATAAATGACGACTCGGTTCGCCCATAGTAAATTAGTCTTCACTATAGTACAGAATTTATTGCACTCAGTGCAAAGGTTGTAAATGCTCTAATGGACAGACAGTACATGAATTAATGAAACCAATTCAGTTTAATCCATGTATGACACGCGAATCTCAGCGGAACGATGTTTCCCACTTATTGGGTACTTGAAAAAAAGCAACAGAAGAAAAGAGGTTTCTTTTCAGAGAAAACAATAACCCAGCTGATGATAACGGTATCTTAATGACGGTAATGATGGTCGTTCGAGGGGCGAACAGCACCTAGGAGTTCCGTTTTACAGAAGATCGTAGTTAGCGATTGATGAAACCAGACTTCGAGACGGTTCTGGGCGTCTTATATTTAACAGCTAATATACATTTTTCAGTACTATTACACAGACTTCTTTCCGCCTGTTACGATTTCGTTCTTACGCCTGCCGTGAGTTGAAGAAAGTAAAACAAAAATCTGCGTCGTTAAAGATTAACGGTGATAAATGACAGACCTCGACGCCGAAGCAACGCATAAAATTACGGATTTAACGAGATCAATACAATCTGAAGAGGTGTAACTGCGGCGTGAAAGCGCGAAGTATAACCCCGCCTCGGTACCTGGTTATATCTCGGCGGCTGGATCTAATTGGCTAGTCGATTCGAAGAGGAAAAAAAAATTCGCGGATCGAGCTCGCTAGTTTCGAAGCAATTAGAAGGAATGTCGCCGGGTGCCGTGGCATCGATAGACATCTAGCGCAGCTTTTACCTCCTTAAGTCCAACCTAACCCAGGGCGCTCGGGCAGAAGTGCCGTTAGAAACTCTACTTACTCTCCTCTGTGCTTTAACTACAAGTAAACAGTCAGTTACATATGCATGCTGTTTATATTTACTATCGTCAACCAACACTGAACCAGTTGATGGAAAGAATATAATCGAATAAGACAGAGTGCACTTTCTATCGGTTTAGTTTTCTTATTTTCGTTATAAAAGTGCCATCCTACTCTTTGGAACGAGTTAGCTATAAGTAACAGGCAACCGCTTTCAGTGTCGTTGTATCCGCGTATGTGTGAGAACGTGTGTACTTTGCTGCCGATAATTCACGCGAAAGAGATCGATAATTAATTCGAGGTAGCGCAATAACGTTTCACGTAGAGGACTGGCCGCAAGACACGATTCTCGAGTGGTTGAAAGAGGTGCAACGCGAGGAGAAAGCAGTAAGCCGAGCACGTTAAGCCGATGGAGCGGTTGCACGTTGTTGCAGAACGGGGAGATAAATTTAGATAATCTCGAGAAAAAGGACTGTGTTTTACCAGGAAGGCCGATGCACTATTCTACGCGGGTGATATTATTATCGTGAGCGTCCAAAGCGCTGGTTATTATCCCTGGGCCGCGTTCAGAAACGCAAGGACGCGGGTCGGGACTTTAGTAACCGTGGGTATATTTATTATCCAACGATATAATTCAATGCAATACCTGACTGAAAGTAATGTTGTAAAAAGTAAAACCAATTTTGTGAATGCTTTTCAAATGTTTCGTAAAAATCGTAATTTTTTATTACGATTATGAACAGAATCACAGATTCGACGTGCAACAGGATGTAAACCGGTCGAATTCAGCGAACGGTAAGCACCTATAGACGAGGAGTAGGCAAACAAGCAAAAAGGTTTGACGGCCGCGAAGTTCTCAGGGCACGACCGGATCTTCGCTTCGAAACGATCGAACGGTGCTCTTTGTTCGCGACAAGAGAGCGTCGAAAGGTTACACTTAATTATGACATTCGGGGAGGCACGTTCTACAACCGGGAAGTGACTTTCCCTCGAGTGGTTTGCCACTAAAGAGTCCCGATAGAAATTGTTTAACGACATGCACGTTTCGTGGTCGGGAGAGACATGCACTCGCTTACCGCCGACGATAAACTGAACGAGGAATGCATATAAATATTGCAGGAACTAATTTAAAACGACGGGATATAATGCGGAAAGCTGTGTTCTTAATGAAGATCTAAGTTTAATTAAAAACTGTTTGTAATACCGGGTAACTGGAAATAATTTGAATCAAAGTAATTGTCGGAGCATCGGAGCGCGCTTTAAATTCAGTGAATTCGGTTTTTAGCATTATCTCACGTGTTCGATACTACTTTATTCAACCACGTTAATTACTGATATTTCAACCGTAATTACCAGCATCGTTACAATTTCCTTTACCGAGATTCACGACT